CTGGCGCGAACTACTGCGCGCATGCTTAAACCTATGGTACTGATCACTGTCAGAATTTCTGTGCTGCCCACTAATACTTGGCCTGATGTCCATTTTTCAAAATTCGGCCCATTTCATCATATTTATCCTCCATTTGCCAATGTATGGAACACAGACCATTCGTTGGGAATAGAACAGCTTAGCGGTGAAAGCGTTTCGATGGTAACTATCAGAATCTTCGCGAAAACTCCTTATATCCGAGCGCTTCCCTTGAGCAGCTTTCACGAATCCATCTGTTGGTGCTCTTATCATTCCTCACTGGCAGAACAACTTTAGGCTTTTACTTTTTGTCGAAACTCGAGAGTTTAGCGGTCGAATCAATTCCGACTATATCGCTAAGGGATAGAAACATCTTGGCTCACTTAGCCTTTGCCCACTGATTCTTGGGCCACTGCGGTCAACATCAGTCGCAAGCGGTGTAAAATGCGAAAAGATACTGACCTTGTTGGACACTATATCACAACTTATCTCCCACCACCAATGTTCCCTAACCACTTCTGAATTGCTATGGTATCTTATCAGCTGTTATAATTTCTTGCCAACCACTGATATGTATGTTCCATGCTTTCCCCCATATTACATCTTGGAACCAAGGTACCGTCGTTGCTGTGGCCAGCGTTATGAATTTAGGTGACCCACTCTTTTAAGACCCCCTTGTGGTATCTTATCAGCTGTTATCACTTCCTGTCACCCACCAATAATGTTCTCGTCCTGCCCACCTATCTTTCATCTTGGAACTAAAATTCCCTCGTTGCTGTGATCCGCGTTATGAAGTTGTATCAGATGTTATCACGCTCTGCCACCCATCAATTATGTTCCCATCCTGGCCCCTGTCTTACTCATTGGAACCAACGTTCTAGCCTTGCTCTGATGCGCTTTATGAAGTTGTCATCTCCCTTTCCAAGAACTGTTCTCACTTCCTGCCATCCAGCAGTAATGTTCCTGGCCCACCCCTACATCACTTATAAATTTGAGCGCTTTACTCCTGTTTTGAAGAAAGTTATGAATTTCCGGTCAAACACACATACAGACAGACAAACAAACATACACACACACCAACAGACAAACTTAACGGATTATATATACCAGGATTATCCTAGGGGTGGAATGTGTGACTAACGGAAAAAGAGGCCTTTGCGGACATCGATTACGCTTTCCTTGTTGGAGGTAATTTTGAACCTTTTTGCATGATATTAGGTTGTCGCATAAGTTCTTATACACGTGTTTGATCCTCTCCTATTTCGTTCGCATGGATGTTGGTATTACGTCATCACGTGTGCGTGACGTGTACATTATACTCTTTCATTACACACCGAGCTTGCATTTGCAGTACACAATGTCGCACAATTTGCACTGTGACAAAACGTACCTGCGCCACTGTTTGGTTTTGCTCCACGATTTCGGCTGGAATGCAAAGGAAGCCCATACCAAGCTGGTGGATACATACGGTGAGGACGTCATCTCTTACATGACATGCAAGAATTGGTTCGCCAAATT